CTTTCCCTTTCTCTTTCTAAAGAAGAAGTGTTATGTTATGTAAGGGCTATTCTTTAAACATGAATTCTCCATTCACATTTTCATGGTGTGTGTGTGAAAGAGAAAATTAATATACTGAGAAAGGCAGACAAGGTTCTTTGGGTGAATCTGATATCTTTTATTAGACCAACTTAAGTAGTTGGGGAAAAAAAAATCCAGCATCTTTTTAGACATGATGATCAGTATCCAGAATGGTAAAATAAAGACCACATTATACAAGAAACCCACAGACCAACATACATATTTGCATAGAACCAGCAATCACTCTAAACACACCAAAGAAGCTGTGATATACAGCCAAGCCCTCAGATACCACTGAATTTGCACTGAGGAGAACACCTAGAATGGCTTTCACCCAACAAGGACACTCCTCCAGAGAGACAGATTGCATGTTTGAAAGAGCCACCCGGATACCACGTGAAGAATTGCTGTAGTACAGAAGAAACCCCCCCATGAATCGCACACTGCTGGTTATGACAGATCATCTCTCCCTTGAACCCATACAGAATATCCTCAAACAATTGCAATCCATGCTAGAAAGAGACCCTATTCATAAAAAGATCTTCCCAGAGCAGGGGTGGGCAATTATTTTGGGCAGAGGGCCGCTTACTGAGTTTTGGCAAGCCATCGAGGGCCACATGACAGGTAGCCAGGGGCAGATAAATATTCATTTTCTACATTTTTTAGGGGTCCTGTGGGCTGGATAGAATGGCCTGGCAGGCCGCATTTTGCCCACCCCTGTCCCAGAGCCACTCATCCTAGCCTTCAAACAAGCACCGAACCTCGCTAACCTCATCACCAGAAGCAAACTTCCTATGATCCAAAGCACACCAAATAGATCCAGACCATGGCATGGCAAGAAATGCAAAACCTGCCAACACATCTTCACCACCTCCACAATTGCTACACCTCACAACAGAGCCATCGGCTTTTATAGATCTTACAGCAGCACCTCCAGAAGTGTAATACACCTCATCCAATGCACCAAATACCCTGATGGAAAATACGTAGGAGAGACCAAACAACAGCTGCACACCAGAATGAATGCACACTGGGAATCTATCAAAGACAAGAATACCCAATGACCTGTGGGGGCGCATTTCTCACAAGAAAACCACTCTCTCTCTCCACTCTCTCAGTTCTAATCCTCAAAGGAAACTTACAAAACACTTCTCAGAGACGAGCCTATGAACTCCAGTTTATCAACCTCCTGGATACTAAAAATCATGGACTCAATATAGACATTGGATTTATGAAACATTATAACCTGCCTGACATTTGACTCCCCAGGTACCTCTCCATTATTCATCCCCCTTCTTTCCCCACAACCCAGCCTGTCTCTCACCCTGACTCCTCAATTTACATCTTCACTGACAGCCTATCTTGTATGCAGACCAGCCCAGCCTCTGGCTTTTTTACTTTTCATTCCATCCAGGAAGAGCACACACCAACTGCTGAAACTTCCTCAGCCTGACGAAGGGTTTTTAAACCCAAAAGCTTGCTTAATTTTTTTTCCCCCAACTATTTAAGTTGGTCTAATAAAAGATATCAAAGGGAGGAAAGTGGATCTGGCAAATTATAGGCGCATCAGCCTGACTTCTATCCCAGGGAAGATCCTAGAAAAGTTGATTAAAAAGGCCATCCTTAATAGACTGGCTGATGTCAACATACTGAGGGACAGCCAGCACGGATTTGCTGCAGGTAGGTCTTGCTTGACCAATCTCATTTCCTTCTACGACTAGGTGACTTGGTATATATCTTGACTTGAAAAAAGCCTTTGATCTGGTATCCCATGATCACCTGTTGGTGAAACTGGCCAATTGTGGCCTTGGGTCCACCACAATCCGCTGGCTGGGAAATTGGCTCTGGAGTCAAACCAGAGGGTAGTAATTGATGGAAATCCATCATCATGGTGCCCTATAACCAGTGGGGTCCCCAAGGCTCTGTCCTTGGACCCATATTGTTCAACATCTTTATTAATGATGTGGACATTGGATTCAGAAGCAGACTGGCCAAGTTCGCCTATGATACCAAACTTCGGGGCAAAGTGTCCACACCAGAATACAGGGGGGCGATCCTGGCTGACCTGGACAGGCTCAGCAAATGGGCGGATGAGAACCTGATGGTGTTTAACACTGAAAAATGCAAGGTTCTCCACCTTGGGAGGAAAAACCTGCAGCATCCTTATAGGCTCAGCAGTGCTACACTGGCTAGCACTATGGAAGAAAGAGACTTGGGGGTCATTATTAACCACAAGATGAACATGAGCCTGCAATGCGATGCTGCAGCTAGTAAAGCGACCAAAACACTGGCTTGCATCCATAGATGCTTCTCAAGCAAATCCTGGGACGTCATTTTCCCCTTGTATGCGGCCTTGGTGAGGCCGCAGCTGGAGTACTGCATCCAGTTTTGGGCTCCACAATTCAAAATGGATGTGGAGAAGCTTGAGAGAGTCCAGAGAAGAGCCACACGCATGATCAGAGGTCAGGAAAACAGACCTTATGACGACAGGCTGAGAGCCATGGGGCTCTTTAGCCTGGAAAAGCGCAGGCTCAGGGGCGATCTGATGGCCACCTATAAGTTTATCAGGGGTGACCACCAGTATCTGGGGGAACGTTTGTTCACCAGAGCGCCCCAAGGGATGACGAGGTCGAACGGTTATAAACTACTGCAAGACTGTTTCAGACTGGACATAAGGAAGAATGTCTTTACTGTCCAAGCTCCCAAGGTCTGGAATAGCCTGCCATCGGAGGTGGTTCAAGCACCTACATTGAACACCTTCAAGAGTAAATTGGATGCTTATGTTGCTGGGATCCTATGACCCCAGCTGACTTCCTGCCCTTTGGGCGGAGGGCTAGACTCAATGATCTTCCGAGGTCCCTTCCAGCCCTAATGTCTATGAAATCTATTCACCCAAAGAACCTTATCTGCTTATGTCC